CCTGGGACAGACCTTCATGACCCATCTTACCTCGAAAGAGGACTCCAGTTCGTCCACTAAGGTAATGTTAGAGGTTCTCGGAGCCCCTGGCGCGGCCTGAAGAAGCGAAGCCTGGCCTGGGAGTCCCGGCGGGGGTGGCTGGGGCCCCGGTGGCTGTCCGGAGAACATGCCACCCAGCGGAGCCGCCATGTCTGCAATGGCTGGGAAGAGGCCCACTTCGCATGCGTGGGGCCCGCACCGCCGCGGTGGGTCACATGACGAACCTGGTCACGTGACAAGTTGGGCGCCCGGAGGCGTCTGCCGGGGGCGGGGGAAATCGCGTCTTTGATACCTTGGTTTTATTTTTCCGTCCGAGCCGCAGAGGCGGCTTGGGATCTCTTATTTTACTTTACTTGAAAAATTGAAGGCTTTGAGTGGATTTGACAGACTTGTGTGGAGAGGAGAACCAACTACAGTGGAGCGAGCCCTCCAAGAGAAGCAACTCCTGTGCTAGTCCCGACTTTTGTCCTAAAAACATTGTGTGATTTGGCCGAGCGATTTCGTGTCCCCAGCTTCGGTTTATCCGTTGGTAAAAGGAGGAGTCACTCATTCATTCCACAAAGGTTTACTGAGAGAATTTTCGATGTACCCATCACTAATCCAGTCACTGTGGATGTAGCCGAAACAAGACAGATAACGTTCTCCCTAAATTCCTACAGGAAGAGACCGGTTATAAAAACGACTGTTAAAAATATAATCGTGATTGTATTACTTTAAAAGAATACCAATATTTTATTGCTCTATGATTTAGTAAACCATTTGCAAATTGGAGAAACATTTCCTCATACAAGAGGAAGCCGCTTACAGAGAACGGAGAATTCAGAGGCTTGAATAACTTTTGCTTAACGAATACACGTCTCCATGGTGGTGAAGTATTTAATGGATACTGAGTTAACATTCATAGGCTATTGGGTCGCTATGAGTCGGAATCCACGTGAAGACAACGTGTTTAGTTTTTGTTTTGTTTTGTTTTTAGTAGTTTTTAGACATTAAAAACGTAACTTCACGGAAGATTCGCCTCTCCACACCCCTGCAGTCCCGAGATGTCCAGAAATTCAAATTAAAGAAGCCCAAGTCTGTCTGTCTGTCATAGTCTGGCTTTGGAACAAATTTGGGTGAGAGCGGAGGGGGCAGGGTGGGACGCTGATTAATCTTGGGTAAGGAATTTCGTGGACACGAAAAACCCTCTTAAAATACCAAATATCTATTTTTTTTTTTTTATCTTACTCAGAGATTTCCAACATATTTTATTTTGCAGACCACTGGTTTGTAACTTTTGAGGACCAACATCTGTATAAATTCATATAAAATGCCCAATTAATTTCAGTTCTGTAGCCTCTTATGTACTGCACTGTACACCATACTTACGGCTTGAGTTCCAGTTACACATGCATAAAGGCTACCGGGTTCGTTCCTGAAGGAGAGCGCATCTTAGTTAAAGCCTCTTCCACGGAGCTTCAGCTTTCAAGTGGTGGTTTCCTTTGGCAAGAGGTTGATCAGTGTACATGGCTTTGGTGCCTGTAAGCAGGAAGCATTAAGGAACTTGGAGAAACATGGTGCTTTTTCTCTTATGAAAACAGACACTTGAGGATTCAGTGTGCGTGTGCTTAACGACAGGAATCCCTCCTGTTTAGTAGGTGAAAATACAAGGAAACCTCTGTTTCTAAGTAACACAGATAAACACCTTCTTCGATCGCCTATTTGTTCTAGAACTACAAAATTTAATTCAAGAAAATATAGGTCCTGTGAAAGACTTGAAAGTTTTATAAAACTAAAATCTAGTTTTCCCCAGTAAATTGTATTTTAGGCAAAATCCTCCCAACGCTTCTAAAATAATACTAAAAGGGGCATCTGATTATACAAGAGCAATAAAAAAATTAAATATTTATTTGAATAACAA